TGCTGGCTGGTATGCGAGTCAGCCAAGACCCGAGCGTCGTCATCGGGCCACGGGTCCCCTGGCAGATGGATTTGGAAACGGAGAGCTTCAACCGCTCTTTCTGCAATCTCAGCCTCGGCAAGAACAGCAGACTCGGCGTCAGCCGTCTCAACACAAGCCTCCAATGGCCAAAAGTATGATCTCGAAACGCCTCGGAGGTCGAGTGAATGGTGAACTGGACGAGCGGTTGGTCGGGCCGCCGGGACAAGAGTCTGGTCGACGGGTCCCAATGACGGTGAACAATGCGATCGAGCCGAACCGTGAAAAATTGGTTCCGTCAAAAGCCTTGCCCACAGACCGGCAGACTGAGACTGGCCACTTCCAAAAGAGGCCGTACCGAACGCCGGCCCACGGCACTGGGATCACAATTGTAACAGTTGCCAGCCCCCTCGATGCGGCCTGCTTGCCCGCTCAGTCAACAGAAACTGGAGATTTGGTGGACCAGACGAGAGCATCCCTGAAGCAGCCATGGCAACAGACAACACGCAAACGGACACAGCATCAATCGCACGGACGACCGTCGGCCGGACAGCATATCCAGCATCAACTGGTAGCTTCGGATACTTCTGCACTGAGGCCGTCTGTTGATAGCAGCCTCGCTGTTGGTGGTTCAGTTGGTGTGGAGATTAATGACCTCTCGACAGGAAACAGTCCTGAGTCTTGCTCGCATCCCAACCATCGTCATCGGCATATACACTCGCACAACCACCAACACCACAGCCGTCGACATCAGCCACAGCATCGCCAACCACCGCAAGCTGATCAGCCTATTTTGATACAGTCTGAGCACCAAATGGAGTATTTTTTGGCGCCGGCTGGGCCTCGAACCCATCTGCGCCAGAATAATCGGCAGCACAAATCACATTCCGATAAACAGAGGATGGATAGAACGACATCCACTGATCGACCTACCAAACAATCAGTGGCTTCAGATGAATCGGCTCTCATTCTGGAACCAGGTGAGAAGGATTTCATATGATTGAGCTGGCTGAATTTTTTCGATGATTAGCTTTCAGTCAGAAAAAGTATACTTTATTTGATAGAAGTGGGTTGACCTCGTCGCAAATTGGTCTTGTTTTCAGGGAGACCATGTAGAAGACACCTAGTCCGAAGTCGTCTGCCATAGTAGTTGTCATGATTCTCAGCATCCGACCGTGGACTTGATACATTCTCAAACGTTACGCCGGAGACTGCGACCACACCAGAGGCCACAACATCTTGGTCTTTATATATTAAATTATACTTTATTTAATATCGTTTGCTGACTTTGTCCGGCATGCATGCCTATATTATGAAATTTCATTATTTTTCGTTAATTCACAGTCAGAAGTGCCGTTAATATCGTCCTCACTCTTCATAAAATCGAAAAATTATCGTACAATCTATGCTATTCATCATAGCCGTTTTATATTTTTCCTCTGCTGTTATCCAAGTTATTACAGTGCGCTGATTACTCTGCATGTAAAGGAAGTCACGATTGTGCTTTCGCCAAAATTCGCATACATTTCCTCTCTGTCTTTAATCTATTATCCTCAATATAGCTTCTTTTTTATCTGCATGATTCAGCATTTGCACTACAAGTGAACCAATGATTTCATACTGGTCGACCAAAGAATTGGAGAAGTCTCGATCCATAGTCTGATATTGAGTAGAATTTGAGCTCTTCTCGCAACATGCGGAACTGAACTCTGGGAAATAAAACTTTCGAGGCGTCTTTCTTGTTTCCTATACGAAAGCCTCTATTCTGGCTAATCCAAAGCCACGGATGATTTTGCCTGAAAAGAACGGGGCCATGGTATTGGCTCGGGGATATTCACGTTGTTTTACTCTAAATTCATATCAAAATGTGCCCAAGTAAGCACTGGTCTTTTGACAACTACACTTTCTTCCCAAACTAGACAAGATCAGAATGCAGTTTTTACCTCGCCTAGGCTGGCAAGATTGCAATTATGTAGTACTAGTAGTTAAATTTTCTATTCAATGAAATGAATAAAGCTCACGATGCCACTGAATTTTACACTGTACTGCCTCTTCAGAGGCTTTCTACTCAGAGTTGAACTATAGTTTTGGTTTCGCTTTAGCCTCATCTGCACCCAAAACGGGATACAAAACCTGACCTTGTTTACAGATTTGCGGAATTTTACGACTTATTCGAGATTTACTGATAGCTTCGTAACCTACTTACCAATCATCTTGAATCGGTTATGGTTGCACCAATTTCTAATCACATTTAAGGTGTTGGCCATGTTCGGACGGGGTTGAAGCCTCAGTCGATTCTTAATATTCACGCCTTTTGGGAGACTATTTGATCAAAGTTTGAGGACATCGTCAGATCTACTTATTTGAGGGTGGACAAATTTGACTAAGGATCGTCCATCATTTTATTTGCTCATAGTTTCCACCAATAGTCTCAAAGCGTAATCACTACATATTTTGCTTATGCAACCTGGCCATGTAGTATAGGAGACCTCGAAGGATGTATTCAGGACTGGATCCTCTGCCATTGTCATCGTTGATTTTTTCAGCTTTGGGCCATTCACTGATTACATTTCTTGACGCTCTGTCGGCATTATCGTTTACATCGTGAGTGAACAGCTCCTTCTTCTGCTCAAAAAACCACAACTCCTCAGCACAACGAGTATAGTTAATCCTCAGTCAACGGTCTGATGCTAGAAGGAAAATAAGAGCTATGATAGAGGACACAGTACAAGGTAAATCCTTCGAAGTCGTCCTGGAAACGCAACTATGTTGCCATAAGCGAGGTAAAACCAAGACTATATAAAGTAAGGAGATTGCGATCAAATCACAGGCCACATCATCTTGCCTTTAGTTGTACTTGATTCTTTACAGTTGTACATTGTGGCTTGTCGACATCTGAATGTGTGTTTTAACGTCAGACCTAGTCTTAGGAACAAAGCTACAGAGAATTAGAGAAAATCACCACTAGCCTGACGCCATGTTGACGTACAGCCATAGGGCCATATTTTTCTTAATTCATCTATGTTTAATGATTTGTTATAGTTGATGTAAAACGTGCATTAACGCCTATTAAAGGGGATATTTAGCATCTACGTCATTTCTGATCGTGTAACAGTCAGAAAGACTTTTGGTTTCTTCGCCTAAGGCTGCATGAAAGTGTAGAGAAGTTGATTTTACTTTAGTTCTCATCGGATTTGCCTGTGTGTATCCGTCTGACTGTCCATTATCCAATAACTCTTGTCTGTCTAGATAGTTGACTAAGAAGAAGTCAATAGGTCCCATGATCTCATTAAATTCCATTCAGCCTTTCTCCCAAAAGGCCTTCTTATACAAAGTGGACTTCACTTCTAAGCCTTGATTCATTCCCTCATTTTAGCTACAGTATAATTTGTGGACTGTTGTTAAAATGTCGCTAGATGCATCTACTACAGATTTGAAGCCGAGTGATAACGTTGCAACTTGACACGAAAGACATGATTTAAAATCCCCTTGAGGGTGATGATGAGACCCGCGCGAGGTCGAACCTGCAGTCTGGCCAAGATCGGAAAGCCTTTTGGGAGGTAAAAAAGGGTAAACTGTACTGGGATTGTGGGGCTTTAGACTCATTTAATTGTGGTAAATTCAACTATAAGTCTTTGCCTCACCTTACTCGAGTTTCTATTCAAAAGTTACATATAGCTTTGAAGTCTTTATTATTCATAATAGGATTTAAAAATTGCTTAAACCTCTTTACGCTCGACTCACGTGTGTTTATTTCGACTAGTATCTTGACTGTCTGGACAAGACAGAGTATGATTACTCATTTTTTAGTCGATTTTCAGCAGTCCAATCTTTGTTAACCCTATCCTGCTGATATTTAAATCGTTTGTTTACTCAATGCTACCCTGATATATGAAAAAATGCTAGGCTTCAATTGATCATTTAATTGTGTAATGTGACTCGAATTTTCTTATTAAAAAAGTTAAGAAGGATTAGTGAATTGACCTTACAGGCAACGGAGGGAGGAATGCATTGGCATGGAGAATGTTGGATTTTGCTTACCGTCCAGCGACTTCAATATATATGTACTTTAGTCCTTTATGTGAGAAACATTGCCAGGGCAAAAAACCATACCATTATGCTAATCTACAGTTTTCCGCTCTGACGATGTGTTACATGACATATAATAGCTCAGCGCGGGTTCATTGGAGTCGCAGGACAGTAAACCAATGACTTATTTGTGCAATCTAACAATTTGCACTCCAAGGCACTACTTCTTCGATTTCCGATCAGACCAATTCGCGAAGTTCCACGGACCAACTTTTATTTCTACGTCGCAAGTAAGTTCACACACTAACTCTCTCCTTGAGCTTCACATTAAGCGATATTGTTTATGGTTAGTTCGTCCACTTTTCCGAGATGAACAAGGGCCACTTTCTCTTTATTATTAATTTTCTCCTCCATACAGACCCAGATTTGGTTAAACGAGGTTAAACAGGACCAACGCATGTTATTGAGAGGTCACACTGTTCAACTGACTTTGTGCTTAAATTCGAGTAGTCACAGTGTGCCTCTCAAGCATTTCACGACTTATTTCAAAAGGTGTTTATAAGGAGATTTGCCATTACGAAAAATTCCGAAAATGTTATTTTTGCTTAGTCGAGAAATTATTCGCCCCATAAGCAGAAGCAGGGAGGATGCACAAACTCTTTATTGTTTACTATTTTTCGGCAAGTCATTTGGGTTGTTTACTCTGTTTTGCTGGTCGCTGGTAGACACATTTTGCGGATATGATAATCTTTGTAAAATTTTGTAAGTTCTAGTTGTATATTATTTATATACTACTATGCTATATATTAGACTATTTTTCGTTAATAAGTAGATTTTCAAACTTACTTGGAGATCACGCTATTCCGTTTAAGGTAATGAAGCACTGGTTATTGAGGTTCTTTACAATCATATTAATAGACCTTACATTTTGATTGAGTTCCACATAGCCTTGCTTTCCAAAAGGTATTCTCATCAAGGCAGAAGTGGACTTCACTTTGTACTTCGCCTAGGTCTCGTCAGCAGCTCTAGCCTTACTCAAACTGTGATAGTCAAACCTATAATCTTGACATGTCAACCACTACACCACTGCCGTGAGTGACCTTAGGTTACAGGGCAGGTGTGAATTTCAAGGAAGGCCAGGCCTTTTATTTCATAACATTCTGTAATGTGATTGCCGATGAAGCAAAGTTGTATTTGCTATAGAAATCGACTGCATTACTTATTTTTTCGTTTATAAGTATGTTTTTGAAATAGGGTAAATACATCTGATCTACTTGAAGTCTCTAAAATCTACTTATCAACGAAAAATAAATAAGGTAGTCGATTGCTTCTTCGACAATCTCACCACAGAATGGGATATTGGAAAAGACCTGGCCTTCCTTGAAATTCAAATCTGCTCTGTAACCCAAGGGCAGTCTCGGAGAGGTGGCGTAGTGGTTAATATGTCGAGGTCATACGCTGTAGTGTCGTGGTTCGAGTCCTGATAGGGGTTCTAATGAGACGTAAGTGGAGTCAAGCCTGCAGTTCACTCCTGTTTGGATGAGAAACCCTTTTGGGCAGGCAAAGCTACGGGAAATTCAATGGAAACGAACGATCTACTCATCTGATTGTGGCAAAATTCAACTACCATTCCTTCATCACCTTATATGAATTATGGTGGATACATCTCATATAACTGTTGTGAGCTATGGCTGAAGATCTGGACTCAAACGAATTTCCTCTGACCTAATATCAGTTTTTATTGCAACTATTTCTTGTGAGCTCTTCGCTCCAAGCATAACTTTCATGCTACATTGTCTATATAAGTAGGTTTTGAGACTGTCAGTAATCCTTAAATAAGTAATCTAGTTATTTTAAACTGATTCAAAAACAGTTGAGTTATTCCACAGCAAAAAGACTACATGGGGGCTACTCATGTCGTAGTAGAAAAACCGAATTATCATTTCTAAATCACCAAAAGTGACTTATACGGATGATCATTTTATTCACCTATCCGCCGTTTTTCGCAATTTTATGTTCACACTGACTGTTAGAAGCTTAGATACGGCATGAAAAAAAACCTCACTGATCTATGAATCTCCCTCTGACTCGCTCTATACACAATAAGTACAGCAAATAATTTATCGCTGTAAAATCAGTGTTCCCTGTCCAA